CAAAACACTTGAAGGGTTGTCTGCTGCTTTCCTGCCGAATCGACTCCAGGCTACTCTCCCTCCTGGGCAGGTATGTCCGAGATGCAGCACAAGCACCTTCTGCCCTCCCGAGGCCTTCATTCGCAGCAGCAGAGAGAGGGAGTCCAGTGCTCAGGGAGAGCATATCCCATGGTCCCAGGCACAGAGGCACCTTCTGGTCTTCTCAACGTGGACAGTGCCACTCCTCCATTTACCTGGCCTTTTCCAGAGCCTGTTCAAGACTGGTGCTCTTTCCGAGACAATGCAAAAGGGCTCTGTGGTGCCGAGACCGCGGCGAGCCCTTGATCCCGGAAGAAAAGAGTTTTTATTTGGTCAAACACCCAAAGGAAGATCAGCAGAAGGCTGACATACTGGATCCAGGCAAACTTGGCCATCTCCCAGAATCCAGGCTGATATGTATTTGGAGTCAAGGACTGTTTGGGACAGGAAATTCAGGCCGCCCACCACCCGCTATCACAACCAGCAAAGGATATGCAATGACCTCCAAGGGGTAGCGGATGACCATCTGGATCACAAAGGGCTGCTCGGGGGCTCTTCCGACGGACCAGAGCGGTACAGGGCCTGTGAAAACTGTGGAGACTGCAAGGCAAACAATAGAGGTCTTGGAGGACTTCCCGGCCTAAACGGACCTGAGAGAAGTCCTCCAGACCCCTCGAAGTACAAGCAAACTGGAGTCAACCCAGGGAGGAAGAGATGCGAGGCAAACTGACCGTTTCGTTCTTCATACGCTGCCACAATATTAATAAGGTCGTAGTCCTGAGCAAAAGGGCTTGTGCCGTTGATCACAGACACCTGTCATGGCAGGAGGATTGGGAATTAGAAGGCAAGAATGGCCGCAGACTGAGGAATTGGCCAGCAAATCGTTTCAGACTGTTTGAAAGCGTTACTTTCTGTTTAATTGTGCAGTCCGTACTTTGAAAGTAGTTGTTATCCCCCAGAAATTTCATTATTGTGGCTGCCACAAACTATGTTGAATTAATGGAGACACTTATCAAATATTTATTGGAAAACAATAGACAAATGTGCTGCAGGATGTCCCTCCCTCAGAAAAAAACAAAGTTTTTGCAGCTTAATAAACTTTTCCCATGTATTGTTAACGTCAATAAGGAGCCCCTGGTGGCACAGTGGGTTAAACCACTGAACTGCTGAACTTGTTGACTGAAAGGTTGCAGATTCAAATCTGTGGAGCGGCGTGAGCTCCCGCTGTCAGCCCCAGCTTCTGAACCTAACAGTTTGAAAACATGAAAGTTGCCGAGTCATTTATTTTTTATTTGTCGTGTCAGAGCAACCAGTCCATTATATTACATTTCTAACAGAACAAAGCAAACAAACAGAAAAATACAAAACTTGTGAGTTTGGTAGTTGGTTAAATGTCCTTTGACCAGTATCTGGCCACTTGGAGTGCCTCTGGTGTTGCTGCAAGAAGGTCCTCCATTGTGCATGTGGCAGGGCTCAGGTTGCATTGCAGCAGGTGGTCAGTGGTTTGCTCTTCTCCACACTCGCATGTCGAGGATTCCACTTTGTGGCCCCATTTCTGAAGGTTGGCTCTGCATCTCGTGGTGCCAGAGCGCAGTCTGTTCAGCGCCTTCCAAGTCGCCCAGTCTTCTGTGTGCCCAGGGGGGAGTCTCTCATTTGGTATCAGCCATTGGTTGAGGTTTGAGCCTGCCACTTTTGGACTCTCGCTTGCTGAGGTGTTCCAGCGAGTGTCTCTGTAGATCTTAGAAAACTATGTCTTGATTTAAGTCGTTGACGTGCTGGCTGATACCCAAACAGGGGATGAGCTGGAGATGTCTCTGCCTTGGTCCTTTCACTATTGGCTGCTACTTCCCGGTGGATGTCAGGTGGTGCAATACCGGCTAAGCAGTGTAATTTCTCCAGTGGTGTAGGGCGCAGGCACCCTGTGATAATGCGGCATGTCTCATTAAGAGCCACATCCACTGTTTTAGTGTGGTGAGATGTTTTCTTTTGTCGTGTCAGGAGCGTCCTGTGTGAGAGAATTGGCCGTCTGCAAGGACGTTGCCCAGGGGACGCCCGATGATTTTTGATGTTTTATCATCCTTGTGGGAGGCTTCTCTCATGTCCCCTGCATGAGGAGCTGGAGCTGATAAAGGGAGCTCATTCGCTCTCCCTGGATTCGAACCTGCGACTCAAAAAGTTCAGTCCTGCCGGCACAGGGCTTTAACCCACTGCGCCACCGGGGGCTCCGGTGGGAAGGTAATGGTGCTCCATGCAGTCATGCCAGCGACATGACCTTGGAGGTTTCTATCATTTTTTAAATCCTTGTGTGTTATTGTTTATATGTGAGTTATATTAATTGTATTGCTTTATTTGCTTATTGCTTTTTGTTTTATTGATGTGTTGTCGGGCTTGGCCTCATGTAAGCCACTCCGAGTCCCCTTGGGGAGATGGTGGCAGGGTATAAATTAAGTTTTATTATTATTATTATGGACAACACTGGCTCTTCGGCTTAGAAATAGAGATGAGCACCAACCCTCAGAGTCAGACACGACTGGACTTAATGTCAGGGGAAAACCTTAACCTTTACCTCATGTCAATAATATTTGTTCATTAATATTTATTTATATATTATAAATATATAACTGGGTTGCTGTTTAGTTGTATGGCCTGTTTTTAACTATAATCTGTTGCTGTGTTTTATTCTTTTTTTTTTACTTTAATTGAGTTCCTTTTGTTAATTTTGTTATCAATAGTTGTTATTTTATCTTAATTGGTGCTGTTTATTTTTTTGTGTGCAAATTGTTGCAAATTTTGTTGTATTCTATGTGTTTTGTGTTGCACTTTTGTTGTGCTATTTTGGAAGTGGCCCTGAATCACTTTTGGGAGATGGTGGTAGGACATAAATGAAGTTATTTATTTATTTATTGTTGTTGTTTTGTTATAATTCAATGTAACCGTCTTGTGTGTGTGTGTGTTGCAATGGATTAATCGTCTGGCTAACGATATGAACCGGGGCTTATTTCCAGGGTTGGGCTTATGTGACTATGGGCGCCTGGCTAAGACTTATTTTCCGGACAGGTCTTATTTGGGGGGCCACACCCTCCATGAAGCTCCCCTTGCCTTGCCTTGAGCCTGGCTGCCCTAGAGGGCCCTCACTCACATTGTATCTGCTGTCCAGGCCGCTGTGGCCCAGGGGCTGCCTCTGCCGCAGCTTCAGCTCCCCATTGGCGTAGATCCGGGACCCTGGGACGGGCGAGGAGGCCTGCAGGAGGGCCATGCTCTGCATCACGAAGGTAGACATCCTCTGCAACAGAAGACCAGGGAGAAAGAAGGGAGGGATGGACAGAGGCAGAGAAGGCCTTAAAGAGCCTCTGTGACTTTAAAGAGCAGCCGAGGGCCACTGAAACACATGGTTTTGTTTTTTTTGCAAGCTCTTTAATGTCTAAAGTTCATCTGTGAACAATAACTTTTAAAACATCAAACACATAAAATTTTTAAAGCTGACTTAAAAGATGTTTATTTATTATTATGAATGACTGCAGACTATAACAATGCCAACCTTAAGTTACCTATTTAAAAAGTTGGTCTTAAATGTCATGAGTAGCATGCAGATTGACTCTAGCCCAGTTAACTTTGTGTGTGATAAATTGGCTCATAAAAGAAAAACACATGAGACTTCAGCTTAAAGTAGAAAAAAATAATATTGTAGTATTGGCAGCATACAAAAACAAAATAGCAGGATTGCTCTTTCCACAATAACACAAAATAATATCTTCTGAGAGTTATATTTACTCAGCCGTGATAAGCAGGAATCCTTGTCTTCTTCACATAGCTATGTCTTCACAGGACATCTGCAGCATAGTCCCCGGCTTACATAAGGCAAAGTGACGCAGAGGCATAGATGCACAATGGCATAAACGCACAATGGCATAAACGCACAATGGCAAAGACGCACAATGGCAAAGAAACTAAACACACAATAGCTATCTTTATCCACATGAAAGTAATGCTCTCAATTAGCTCTTCAAATAACTGAAATAGCTGTAGCACAAACAGCCTTGATCCTTACAACTTAGATAACAACTTAGATAAAGTATGCTGCAACCTTTTAGTAGCAACATTAGGAGCCTTTCACTGCTCAGCTGTGATTCCATTTTAACTGGCATGGCAACATCCTATGGAAACCTGAGATTTGTAGTTTATGGAGGAGCATTTTGAATTTTCAGACAGAGAGCTGTAGCGCCTTACCAAACTATAAACCCAGATTTTTATAGGCTGTTGTCATAACAATTAAAGTGGAATATTGCACTATCATTGTGTTGTGAAAAAGAGCCCTTTGAAGTGAGAAAATAATAATAATAATAATTGATTTCTGTACCACCCTCTCTCCCTGAGGGTACTCAGGGCAGTTTACACATAAGAAGGCAGACATTCAATGCCAAAGTGAGTACAAAACATATCAAAAACATATCAAAATACATGATAGAGCACAACAATAACTGTGTTTACCACAAAGCATTAAGCATTGAGATAAAATATAACAGAATACTCAGTAAAACATAATTAACTAAAACATAAATAAACATTACAACAAATACTTGTTGCAACTCAGAGTAGGTTTCACCTTGCTACCAAACATCACCACACCAGAGCTGTAGATTTTGTAGTTTATTGAGGAAAAGCAAAGTCAAAACATAGAGGAAGCAATGCAAAGTTCCAAAGACAAAGGTTAAATGCAAAAACACAGTTCTCAAGATCCAAAGGCAAAAACATGAAGCATAATCCTTTAGGCAATGATCAAACAGGAGTCCATGGTAAAACAGTGAAACACAAGATCCAAAATCCCAGATTCAGGAAGCCAAAAGCGTGCTGCTTAAATCCAAGGTTAATCCATAGAAGCTTGCATGGAAAGAGCCACATTGAACTGACACTTTCTCTTTGTCAGCCAGAAACCTAAATACCCTTTGCTAACATGAAGGCGTTGCGATGACCTTTGACCGACTTGGCTTCTTTCTTATTAGCTAAGCAAGAACTCCTCCTGGCCCTCCAATCCAAGAGTTCTTGCCTGCTCATTAATTCACTATCTTTAGTGCTCTCCTTATCAGTTTGGTCCAGCTGGACAAAATCACTGTGGGAAGGCTGAGCAGGCGAAGACAACACCTGGCTGTTATCTAGCTCACTGGCATTCTTTTCCCTTGAGAACTGACTTGTTGTTTCTCCTGCTGCACCGTCTGAGACAAGCACAGACACAGGCCCAGAAATCTGAATCCCATCATCCTCTTAATCAGGGAACAATTCTGGCTCACCAGACCCACAAGGTTCAGTTTCAGACTCAGAATCAAGCTAAGCCACAACAATACCCTCAAAACAGTTTAAAATACAGTTACAATAAAAATGGCTGGCACCGGTGTTCCTCTAAGATGTATCGTGGCAGCCATATAGTGCAAGTGGAGTTGACCATAATTCCAAATTTGATGAACAATCACGCCCTGGACTCCTCACCTGCAGCTGGTAGGAGAAGGTCAGCAGGAGCTGGACGCCCACGACTTGCTCTGAGGGCCGCAGAGGGAGCTCCAGGCGGAAGTGGAGCTGGTCCATTAGGCCGTCATGGTCCGCGTCCTCCTCCCGGGCCTGAAGAAGGAAGGAAGGCATGGAAGCGGGCAGAGGGCCTGACTTCCCACCGCAGAAAAAGAGGAAGAAAGGACTTGCTTTCCTACCGAGATGAGTGGGAGGCGTAGGTGGTCACCCAGAAGCCGGTTGCAGGCTGCAAAGGAGCTCCACCCCACGAAGCCCCCACTGCCCTGCTCTCCAGCCAGAAGTCCTGTTAACAGCACCTCATGCTGAAAGCGGACCCTGGGCTGCTCCTCGTAGCTGCTCCGCTTCAGCCAGAATCCTGTGGGGATGGAAGGCAGGCGGGTAGGCAGCGTTTTTATCCAAAGGATATTTTATTCTTTTTCAAATTTTATTTTACTTTTCAAGAATGACTTTTCAATTGTAATTACTTTGCAAAACACAATAAAATGTATAGCAGATGAACATTTAGAAAACAAGTTCAAGTTATTATGATCAATGGAACTCATTGCCCAGTGAGATTAGGAAAGCCCCCACCTTAGAAATTTTCAAGAGGGATCTCAAAACCTGGCTTTTCCAATGCGCTTTTGGAGAGTAGCCATATTATGATACACAGTTGCTCCCCCTCAATGGTTTCTGTCCCCAGAGTATATTTCCCCACCTGTATGAAGGTCTATATTTATGACCCCGTTCCTTTATGAGTTTCTCCCCCACAAACAATCTGCTCCATCCCTATCTCATCCTGATTTTAATATTTTTAGTATCTTTGTTTTTATCTTGCACATGCGGCCCACTCATTGTTATGTTATTTTATTTTACTGTATATGATTTTGCTTTATTGTCTTTGAACTCATATGTTGTATGTATTTTACTGTGTTGTTATTGTGTTTTGGTTTTACTTTACTGTAATATGCTATTGGGCTTGGTGTCATGTAAGCCGCCCCGAGTCCCCATTGGGGAGATGGTGGCGGGGTATTAAATAAAGATTATTATTATTATTATTATTATTATTATTATTATTATTATTATGACTGGTTCAAGAAAACAGATACATTCCCAACAAAGGATTCCTCCAGACAGGAAGCAGCCAGACTTTGAAGCTGCAAGGCTACTCAATGCTAATCAAGGTGATTAATTGCAACATTCACCCTTGCCTCCAAGAGACAAGAATTCTTTCTCCTGCCCAGGACATTATTCCAAAGATATATAGACCTCACTTGCCTAGTTTCCAACAGAACTCACAACTTCTGAGGATGCCTGCCATAGCTGTGGGTGAAATGTCAGAAGAGAATGCTTCTGGAACATGGCCATACAAGACAAGAATACCAGTGATAGTATGATAGCTGGGTCCGGAAGCTCTGAGCATTACCAAGATGCCACAAAGGTGGCTGTGAATAAGGGAAGAGAGGGGACGGAGTGAGAGCAGGGAGAGCAAAGGAAGGTTAGAAAGGAGGGGACACTTAGGGTAAGGTTTAGGGTTTGAGTTTCGGTTGGCATAAGGGTTAGGGTAAGGGTAAGGGTTAGGCTTACGATATGGTTCAGGGTTAGGGTAAGGATTAGGGAAAAGGTTAGGGTTTCACAATTAAAGAACTTTTACATTCATCCTATGTTAACTGTCTCTGGCCCAGCTTACATTAACTAAGTCTCTCTTGCACAAACAGTGCTCCCAAAGGAGTGATGCGGCATCTCCGTAACGTTCAGAGCTTCCGGACCCAGTTATCATACTATTACCTAATCACCTCTCAACAAAGGATTCCCCAGGAAGTAAATAGCCAGACCTTGAAGCTGCAAGGCTATTCAATGCTAATTAAGAGTTCTCAGGGCCAGCTAATCACCTCCCAACATAGGATTCCCAGGGAAGTAAATAGCCAGACCTTGAAACTGCAAGGCTATTCCATGCTAATAAAGAGTTCTTGCTCCTACCCTTGCCTCACAACCTCTGATGATTCCTGCCATAGATGCAGGCGAAACGTCAGGAGAGAATGCTTCTGGAACATGGCCATACAGACAAGAATCAATCAGGGCCAGCTAATCACCCCCCAACAAAGGGTTCCCAAGGAAGTAAATAGCCAGGTCTTGAAACTGCAAGGCTATTCAATGCTAATAAAGAGTTCTTGCTCCTACCCTTGCCTCACAACCTCACAACCTCCGAGGAGGCTTGCCATAGATGCAGGCGAAACGTCAGGAGAGAATGCTACTGGAAGCCCGGAAAACTCACAACAACCCAGTGATTCTGGCCTTGAAAGCAATCCCTTCCTTCCTTTTCGTGGATCCTCACCGTGGCTCCGGAAGGCCACCAGCAGCGGCGAGAGGACGACCAGCACGCCTAGTAAGAAGAGCGCCGCCGCCGCCATCGCGCTGCGCCTCTCCTTAGCCATGGCGCGGCTCCGTCTCCACGGCAACGCGAAAGACAGGAAACGGGGTCTAGGGGGCGGGCTTTCGGGCGGCCGTCCAATCAGAAAGGCGGCTCGGAGAACTGGAGCGGAAGTCCTCCCGACAGTGAGGGTTGTCGGGAATCCTGGCAACCGGAAGTCACACCCTCTATTCCGGAAACGGGGAGCAATAGCTGGAATCTCTGTCGTCGTCGCCGTTGTTGTGGCGTTGGAGGCCCGGAAGAAAGAGCGCGACCCCCGCCCCTCCCTCCTCCGCGCCATGAAGTGGATGTTCAAGGAGGACCACGCGCTCGGTGAGGAAGGAAGGGACGAAGGGAGGGAAGGGAGGGAGCCGGGCCCGGATAAACAGGAAGGAAGTCAAGGAAGGGGGCCGGGCCTTTCCTTTCCCTCAAGGCTTCTTGATTCCCATCCTGCCTCCTCCCTAAGTGCCCTCCTCGAGCCACACAAAATATAATGCAGAAGGAATGACACAGTGGAAAACAACAACAATAATAATAATCCTCAGTTCTTGTGGTTTTTTCTGGCTATATGGCCATGTTCTAAAGGCATTCTCTCCTGATGTTTCACCTGCATCTATGGCAAGCATCCTCAGAGGTAGTGAGGTCTGTTGGAACTAGGAAAAAGGGTTTATATATCTGTGGAATGGCCAGGGTGGGACAAAGGACTCTTGTCTGTTGGAGCTAGGTGTGAATGTTTCAACTGACCACCTTGATTCAGTCAGCCCATTGTATGCTAATCAAGGTGGTCAGTTGAAAGATTCACACCTAGCCCAACTTACAAAAGCCTTTGTCTCACCCTGGTCATTCCACAGATATATAAACCCCTTTTCCCAGTTCCAGCAGACCTCACCTCTGAGGATGCTTGCCATAGATGCAGGCGAAACGTCAGGAGAAATGCCTCTAGAACATGGCCATATAGCCCGAAAAAACCCACAAGAACTGAGTGATCCAGCCATGAAAGCCTTCGACAATACAATAATAATAATCTTTATTTATATCCCGCCCCATCCCCCCCGGAAGGTCTTGGAACGGCTTACAACATAAATAAATACAATAAATAACAAATACAGAATAAAAGAAGGCAGATCATAACATGACAAGTTGATATAAAAGAGGAAAAAGGATAAAACAAAACAGGCAAATTAAACAATAAGCTGTTGTTATGTTTATTTATTTATTTACGAGCTTGGATTATGATTTTAGTTATGAGACGCTAGTGAGTTGTTTATTGATGTTTACTGATGGCTATTGATGTTAATTGCTTACTGTATTATTGTGTTAATTGTCTTTTAAATGGCTGTACGATGTTTGCATTGAATTTTTGCCGCTTCTGTTGTTAACCGCTCTGAGTCGCCTAATTGGCTGAGAAGAGCGGTATACAAATAAAGTAAATAAATAAATAAATAAATCTATTTATTGTCGAAGGCTTCCATGGCTGGAATCACTAGGTTCTTGTGGGTTTTTTCGGGCTATAGGGCCATGTTCTAGAGGCATTTCTCCTGACGTTTCGCCTGCATCTATGGCAAGCATCCTCAGAGGTATTTACTGTATTTTTATACCGCCTTTCTCAGCCCATAGGTGACTCAATGTTAGTCCAGTGGTTCTCAACCAGTGGGCCCCCAGGGGTTTTGGCCTACAACTCCCAGAAATAATAATAATAATAATAGTATTGTCGAAGGCTTTCATGGCCGAAATCACTGGGTTGTTGTAGGTTTTTTCGGGCTATATGGCCATGTCCTAGAGGCATTCTCTCCTGACGTTTCGCCTGCATCTATGGCAAGCATCCTCAGAGGTAGTGAGGTCTGTTGGAACTAGGAAAAGAGTTTATATATCTGTGGAATGACCAGGGTGGGACAAAGTTTATTTATTTATTTATTTATTTATTTGGTAGTTTTGTATACCGGTCTTCTCACCTCCATTCGAGGGACTCGGGCCGGTTTCCAACATCAATATTACAGACCGTCATTAAAACATCATATTTCTAAATCACACTAAAACATTGAAACAATTAAAATGGCAAAAATACAATCCTATGATTACAGTGGTCAGTCGTCATCAAAGTCATTATTCGTCAACCATCCATATCACAGGATCATGGCTCATTCGTTGAATGCCAATCCCCAAAGCCAGGTTTTCACCTGTTTCCTGAACGTTAAGATCTAAGGGGCAGTTCTGATCTCCAGTGGAAGGGAGTTCCAGAGTCGAGGGGCCACCACCGAGAAGGCCCTGTCTCTCGTCCCCACCAGACGCTCTTGCCGGTGGGATCGAGAGCAGGGCCCCTCCAGACGATCTTAGCAATCTTGATGGTTCATAGGGGAGGATACGTTCGGACAGGTAAATTGGGCCGGAGTCGTTTAGGGCTTTATAGGTTAAGACCAGCACTTTGAATTGTGCTCGGAAGCTGACTGGCAGCCAGTGGAGCTGGCGCAACAGAGGAGTAGTATGCTCCCTGTACCCCGCTCCCGTTAGTAGTCTGGCTGCCGCACGTTGGACTAATTGAAGCTTCCGGGCAGTCTTCAGAGGCAACCCCACGTAGAGAGCGTTGCAGTAATCTAAACGGGATGTAACCAAAGCGTGGACCACCATGGCCAAGTCAGACTTCCCAAGGTATGGGCGCAGCTGGCGCACAAGTTTTAATTGTGCAAAAGCTCCCCTGACCACCGCTGAAACCTGGGGCTCCAGGCTCAGCGATGAGTCCAGGATCACTCCCAGGCTGAGAACCTGCGCCTTCAGGGGGAGTGTAACCCCGTCAAGCACAGGCTGTAACCCTATGCCCTGTTCGGCCTTTCGACTGACCAGGAGTACCTCTGTCTTGTCAGGATTAAGTTTCAATCTCTTGTCCCTCATCCAGTCCATTACAGCGGCCAAGCACCGGTTCAGGACTTGAACAGCCTCCTTAGTAGTAGGTGGAAAGGAGTAACAGAGTTGGGCATCATCTGCGTACAGATGACACCGCACCCCGAAACTCCGGATGATCTCTCCCAATGGCTTCCTCCCAAAGGACTCTTGTCTGCTGGAGCTAGGTGTGAATGTTTCAGTTGACCACCTTGATTAGCATATAATGGCCTGAACAAAATCTGGCTACCAGTATTAAAAACTCTAAAATTACAATAACACAACAACAGAGAGGAAACAAACAAGGACATCTAATCACCTCTCAATGAAAGTTTGCTCCAGGCACTGTCAGGCCATTATATGCTAATCAAGGTGGCAAAACATCTAGGGACTCACAGGTTGAGAACCACTGTGTCAAGTGATCCCTCCTAGTCCGAGGATGGTGGTCCTCCAAGTGTAATGTCTTGATGGTGGATATGTAAGTGGCTGTGGAGACCTATTCTTGATCTGCATATTGTTCCACAGTGAGGACATTGGTTTCCAAATGGAAAGCCGTCGATGTCAGGGTTGGCGTGATGTGCTTTCCTCTTGGCATGTTTCTCTCTTTTACCCTCCATTCGTGCCTCTTCAAATTCTGCAGCACTGCTGGTCACAGCTGACCTCCAGCTAGAGTGCTCAAGGCTTCCCAGTTCTCGATGTCTATGACACAGTTTTTAAGGTTGGCTTTAAGGCCATCTTTAAATCTCTTTAAATTCAGTTCAGCGGAGTTGATGGCGTAGGAACATCACTTTAATGCTGGTGATCTTTGCTTTTTCCAGCACACTGACATTTGTCCACCTGTCTTCCCAAGAGATTTGCAGGATTTTTCAGAGGCAATGCTGATGGAATCGTTCCAGATGTCTCATTCTACCTTGATATTATACCAGAGTATATACTTGTCTGCTTTTATAATGATAATAATTATTCTCATTATTATCATTATTACTATCACTATGTCTATTTAAAAGCCAGAGCCAAATCAGTCACACAATTTTTTTTAAAAAAAATATTTACATGTACATGACAACACAGCACAGATACACATTAGGTCCAGTTTATTTATTTATTTGTTATATTTATTTATGTTCCATTTGAGGGGACTCAAAGCAGCTTGATATGAAAGCATTAGCACAGACTTTAAAATATACAAATATTAAAACAGAATTAAACACAAATTACAGTAGAAAATCCACCAGAACATATTCAAAGTTAAGAAACACATCATTCAAGTGTCTTGGATTGGTCTCAGAATATCGGGCTCTTCCCAAGGGCCTGGGTTATTAGAAGTATACGCTCTATAATTTATTATTATTATTATTATTATTATTATATATTTTTTATTGTATGATTAATGCAAAGCCAGTCCCCTCTGCTTCTTCTGACACTGTCTCCCCCACAGAGCACCGCTGCGTGGAGTCAGCGAAGATCCGGGCCAAGTACCCCGACCGTGTCCCAGTAAGTTATTTACTCCTTCTTCCCTCCCTCCCTTCTTCTCCTCCCTCCACGGGGAGAGCAAAAGCTCCTTTTCCTGGGTCCAGCCCCATTTCCCCCTCTGAGCTCCTTCCCTTTCTCCTTGCAGGTGATCGTGGAGAAGGTCTCGGGCTCCCAGATCGTGGACATCGACAAGCGGAAGTACCTGGTGCCCTCAGACATCACGGTGGCGCAGTTCATGTGGATCATCCGGAAGCGGATCCAGCTGCCCTCCGAGAAGGCCATCTTCCTCTTCGTGGACAAGACTGTCCCGCAGTCCAGGTCTGATGGGGGACAAAACGGGTGGGGCACTGGGGGCGGAGCCTTGTCCCTTAACCTTCCTTGGGTGAGGCATGCCTCCTCCTCTGAGACCCCTCCCTTCAGGATCCTTCTTCGGAACTTTCATGGATTTAGTGTATTGTCAAAGACTTTCACAGCTGGAATCCCTGGGGTGTTGTGTAGTTTCCAGGCTGTAGGGCCAATGTGTTCTCGCAGCATTTTCTCCTCCTTTCGTTTCACCTGCACCAGTGGCTGGCATCTTCAGAGGATCTGATGATGGTAAAGCAAGTGAAGTATACATGTATCCATGGAATGTCTAGGCTTGGAGAAAGAACTATTGTGTGTTACACAAGTGTAAAGGTTGCAATTAGCAAGCTTGGAAGTAGCCTGGCTTTTGTTCCTTTTGAATTGTCTGTTGCCTGGAGGCATCCTTTGACTGGGTTGTGTTCACTGGCCCTTGATTGCTTACTGTCAGGACACCTGCTGTGTCTGAGTGGTGGTCCTTAGTCACTGTCTTAATTCTAGGGCTTTTCAATACTGGTAGCCAAACTTTGTTCATTTTCATGGTTATGTCCTTTCCGTTAAAATTGTCCATGTACTTATGGATGTCAATGGCCATAGATGTGTTTTATCACTCTTTTATGTGTAATGGAGTTCATTTTATTATTAATTTTATATTTTTGAATTTTGTTGTATTTGTATTGTGTTGCACTATTGAGCATGTCCTGTGAGCCACTCTGAGTCCCTCCAACGAGATAGTAGAATGATACAAATAAAGTATTAGTAGTAGTAGTATAGATGCAGGCAAAACGTCTGGTGAAAATGCTGCTAGAATATGACCATACAGCCAGGAAACTGTATGGTAATATGCTGTTGGGCTTGGCCTTATGTAAGCCGCCCCGAGTCACCATTGGGGAGGTGGTATTAAATAAAGATGATGATGATGATGATTATTATTATTATTATTATGGATTCATTTCTGGCAGGCCTGTTCACCTTGTGGCCCTCCAGCTCCCAGAAGATCCTAAGGCAGGCATGGACCAACTTTGGCCCTCTTTCCAGGTGTTTTGGACCTCAACTCCCACAATTCCTAATAGTCGGCTGTTAGGAACTGTGGGGGTTAAAGCCCAAAACACCTGGAGGAGGGCCAAAGTTGGCCCATGCCTGCCATGGCGTACCTTGAAAGAAGGTCCAAAGGCACCCATCTCCCAAAGGAACACAACCCTTGAGGCGTCCTCCAAGCCTCCTCCTCCTGCAAGAAAGAGCAAGAGGCAGATGGGCCTTGGGGCCCCCTTCCGCCTCCCAGCAGCCTTTTTCCTTCCCTTGCAGCCTGACCATGGGGCAGCTCTACGAGAAGGAGAAGGATGAGGATGGCTTCCTGTACGTGGCCTACAGCGGAGAGAACACCTTCGGGGCCTGAGGGGACCTCCTTCCTTCTTGCCTGCCTTCCTCCGCCACCGCCGCCGCATCCCTTCCTTGTAAATAGCGCCTTGCTTGCAATCATGGCTCCAAGGCACCTCCGGCATCCCTTCCTGCGTTGACCTAATATGTGGGTAGGGGTGTTTCTCTTGCTGTTGTTGTTGTTGATGTTAATTAGCCTGATAAGTTATAAAAAGGTTTTATTTCCGCATTGCACATTGTAGTCATAGCTGTAAATTCCATAGTTAATTTCCTCTGGGACGTATTTGATGGTATTATTTAAACAGGTGAAGGGTTGAAAATGAAGGTGGGGGTGGGATTTTGAAACGAACGTTTGGCTAATTATTAATAATTACAGTTTCGTAGCAACGGGAGATTCTCGGCCTAGAGATGTCGATCTCGTTTACTCTGTTCCTCTTGATGAATTTTGCTTGAGGAAGTAACAATTAAAAAAATCCTCACACAAAACTTGCAGTTCTGATTTCTTACAAATACTGCATTGAGATCAAGCTTCCCAAGAAGAGCCCCTGGACTAGTTTGCCATCCGCGATCCATGGGCACTGTAGTAGCCATATTTGCAGGATCTCCCCCCCTCAATGTTCCAGGAATTCCCCAAACAAGGCTGGGGAAGCCTTCCAACGGGCTGTATTCAAGACTCTGCCCAAACATAGAACCTGAAGTTTTCATGGAGCACCCTGTCTGTCCCCTGATCTCCTTTCTGCCAGACCCAACTAAGCCAGGAATGAGAGGCAGGGCGGCTGTACGCTTTGCAGCAGGACAGGGAGATCCCAGCACAGGACACTGGCTGCTGGGAGATAGGTGGGGCTGGGTGCAGGGCAGCTGTGGCCCTTGGGCCATCTAGTGAAAGGCATGGTTTTGCTCACTGACTCCTTCCAGAAATAGTTGAGAAAGAGGAGCAAAAGAGCATCTGGAACCAATTATCTGCCTTTTGGCTCAACGCTGCTGCTGCTTCCGGTGGCTCCAGAGAGGGCTCCTTTGCTACTTGCAAAGCCACAGAACAAGTTGGTGGCAGCTGCAGCTGGTTCTGTGCCTGGCAGCCCTTATCAGCATGAGAAATTCATAATTAACAAGAGGCAGCCAAGCACAGAAGGGGACCGATTGCCCTGACCTTCAGCAGGAATTTCCCCCCATCAATGAGTTGGCAGTGCGCTCTGGAGTTCTTTCCCCCAGGCCCTGGGGCAGGGCTGAGTGCCCACTCAGGAGCATGCAAGCAGGCTGCCTTGCTGGCCCTTCTCTTCCTCCATCCCTCCCTCTGGGGAGGCCTGTATTCCTGTGGTTTTTGCTCCAGCTCCCACAGTCACTGCACTAGCTGTGTCTAAGGCAGTGATTCTCAACTTGTGGGTCCCCAGGTGTTGTGGCCTACAACTTTCAGAAATTCCAGCCAGTTTACCAACTATTAGGATTTCTGTGAGTTGGAGCCAAAACATCTGGGGACCCACAGGTTGGAAACCACTGGTCTAAGAGGAGCAGGGACCTGGTCAACATTTGGAGGCCATCCCTTTCTTCTGCTGTAGCCCTGCTGTTTCATCGGCTGCTAAATGGAATGGGAAATCAAGATGGCATGACTCCTAAGGCGAGGAAAATGGAACCAAATGGAACCCACTGACATCTCTTAATGTCCGGACACATGATGGGGTTATGGCCTTGATTAAGTCCTGGAGAATATTCTGGGACCAAGAATTCTGAAATGTAAACAGCCATCTGAAAGAGACTAACAATCCTGAGTTGGGCTTCAGCTATACCAAATACCAGACAAGCCAAATCACAAAACATTTGATCTCTTCTGATGTATCCTGTGGGTAAACGCCACTGGTGAAATGTATTGTCACTAGATCTAGGAACCTGCCAGTCTAAATCAGGTCTTCAAACACTGAGACTTTAATCCATTAACAGAATTACAAATGCAACTGAGCCCGTAAACTGAGGCAAATAGGATCAGTTTTTCCCCTGAAGCTAGCATTGCATAGTGAGGGCTCACTAGCAGCCACCTTGGCCCGGATGCTCCCCTGAACGTGGCAGGGCTGTACTCTCCTCACACTGGGACTCAACACGACAGGAGAGGCAGAGGCACCACCCCATACGCAGGAGAACCAAAACCACCTCTGTTCCACTTTCCACTTTCCTGGTTTGGGCCAGCTCTCTCTTCCAGGCGTGGGGGGGCAAACGAGATGTTTGCAGATGCAACGCTGTTCCAGTGCCAGGCCTCTCCCCGCTGAGTCACAGCCCCCTCCAGTCCCCAAAGTTGTCCATCTTGCCTTGAAAAAATCGGATGCCTTTGATCAAGCTGGATGGGCTCTCAGGTGAACTGCAGGTAATCCCGGCTGTTCCTCACCCAGGTGCCAAAGGCCTGGTCCCGCAGCTCCTTCCAGGCCTCTTGGTAACTGACTGCAGCTTCCTTGTAATCCCAGTAGGTCTGCAGCCCCTTGGCCCTGAGGAATATGTCAAAGAGAGCTGACCTAAGAGTCTTGGGGGCACTTTCCCACAATGCCTGCCCCCCTCTTCCCTGTGCAAAGAAAAACGGTTTTGTAGCCCTGAGCCCTGCTCTGGAAGAGTCCAGAACACCAGCTCCTTCCAACCAGCTCCCCAGCACTAACTGCTCTCACCCGCTCCCCCACTTTAAGAAAGAGCCCTAAGCCTCCACACTATGGGGGAGGCAATGGAATGCATGGCAGTGAATGGGGAGTGAGAGGATGGAGGGCCTTGGCTCTCAGTTTCCAGTATTCCAAGCTCCTCTGTAAGAAGTGGGCTGAGGACACAACACCCTGACCCTGACCTGCTCCCTGCCTTCAAATGCAAGGCAAGGAAACATCAAGAGAAAAGGAACACACTTCTAATGGGAGCCAGCTGCCAGCTCAGCAGCCTGTGCAGCCACCTGACAGGAAGCCAGCTCAGGACCCACTAAATCCCCAGGAAATTGGAAAGCCAAAGAGAGCTGGGAAGGAGAGGGTGAGGCATATGGCCGACTCTGCCTCAGGATAGAAAGCACAATCCTCCCATATTTAGGTCACGCTCAGACCATCCAAAGATCTACTGGGACAGTCTGGCCCTTTGTCCTGGAAAGCCCTCAATGGAGTAACAGGGCAGAAGGAGATGCCAGGCCTGAAGAAGAGGCCACTGCAGGGAAGCGAGAGAAGCCAGGGGCTAATCGTGTTGGATAGACCTCACCCAGATAGCTGCCTCAGCAAGGCTTGAACAAACCATTGAGGGGCCCAAGCACCATCTAGTCCAACCTGCTTCAGCAAGGCAGAAATACACAACTTCACTCCTGAAAAGTGCTCACTCAAGCCCTTCCCCAAAGAGGAAAACAAGGGAATTTAGCTGCCAAGGAAACCCAGAATCAAAGAAAACCAGCCATGGTTCTACTATATCTCCTAGGTTTTGGGCCTCATCAGGTGTAGCTCCTTTGCCAGAAACGGACAGAGCTGCTGGGTCTCTTCTCATGTTTGGAATCGCCCCAAGGGAACAGCTGGAGGGAAAGGGGTGCTCTGGTGCTCACCGGAGGGACTGTGGAAGGCGCTCCTCTGGGACACTGAAGACCAGCCTCAGGAACTCATGGAACAGCTCCACTTTGCAGATGCGAGACCTGAAACCAAAAGGAGGTCGAGCACCAATCACTGGGAAAGGGGTGAAATGGCTGGCCTAGCCCTGGCTGATCCAGCCCCCTTCCCCAAAGGGGACTGCTTGCAAATCATCGGTTTGGTCAAAAACCTATTTTGGCAGCAAAAGAAGTTGGAGGGGAGGAAGAAAGTATTGCTGGATTCGTAATGGGCTGGGAAGTCCCTTGGCTGCCATGGAGCAGGCTCTGCAGGGCTCCTTCCTGATGGCAGGCCTGCACTCCCTGGTGAGCTGCCCGACAAGCACTGAGCCAATTCCCTTCAGGAAGAACTCCTGACAGAGCTCACCCCAGCCACCCAACATCCTTTGGCATTCCTTTTGGAGCTTCTTCCTTCAATCCCTGGGATATCATTCCCCTGCAAGGACAATGGAGTGGCTCCTCTCACCGCTACCCAGGCCCAAGATGGTGTACCTGGACTTGGGGGCACCGATCCCTTTCTTAGTGGTCCCTTGTGTGAAGCCACGGGCTGTGACGTCCAGCGGGTGCTCAGAGACAGCGCTCCAACTGATGGCTGGGATAGGGCAGAGGAGTGCGGGAGAGGGTGTCAGGAGCCCAAGGAAATCTGCAGCAGCGAGGCCCACTGCCTGCCCTCCTGCCCCACCCCCATTTTGTCCCCATTTAAAGGGGAGAAACATAGGCACCTGCTCCGCATGGGACCACCTTCCCCAGAGGGCTTTTGGCTTGCACTGCTTCGCGGCTGTGGATGAAGCACAACTGAGACTGCTCCACTTCAGGCTCTTGGACCTCAAAGCCATCAGGCAAATGCCGAACAGATTGGCACCTGGGGAGAGACAGCCACTTCCACTCAGAAACTTGGGAAGCTCACCTGGAAGACATTGCGATGGCAGCCCAATGGGGAGCTCAAGGTGCCCTGAAAACAGCTGCTCTCTTCTTGTCTTGGAAAGGATAGCACTGGCCAAAGGAGGCCTGAGGGCCCCAAGGAAAGTGCCATCCCATCCCATCCCCCACCCCCAAGCCCATCACAATCAGGATTGGGAAGAACTATGACACCAGATGGGACAGTTTGTTCAGGGAACAAGTCCAGGTCCAATTTGGGACTTAACAGTTCAGTGTTGGGAGCAAGCAGATGTGGAGAGAGAAAAGCTAAAGGGCAAAAACTGCAAGAAGCAGCTGACTCTGGGAGGCCCAGCAGAGTCTCCTTGTTTAAGATGCCATAACATTCTATATATCTTCTGGGCCCAGGATAGGAAGCCAAGGGCAATTGGAAACACCTTCTGAAGTGTTTCAGATATTCATGCAGATGCACACACGCACTTCAGTACCCCCCCCCCTTTTCCTATAGACTTACACACCTGGCCTAGACCACTGCCAAGGGCTCACCTACCGGTCAAAGATGGCCCTCCTCATGGCCTCTGAGCTGTAGGGGCAGCGGGCCAGCACCACAGCTGACAGATAGACGGGCCGCTGGAGGAAGTGCATCAAGAGGGCTCCCTGAAGACCCAGGACGTTCCAGCGTGCCATCTTGTCACTGCAGGACATGGAGGCCGTGCGGGGCCCGCGCCCAGGCTTCGTCCTCAGCAGCCCTGTCATGTGGTAAGCGCTGCCAGGGAGCAGAGGGTCAGAGGGCCCCTCCGGGACACACTTGGCCCCTGTCCGGTGCACGTCCACCACCTGGGCCTCTCGGTCAGAGCTTCTGTCCTCCAATCTGGACCTCTTGGGAGGGGGAGCAGCCTCTGACTCTCCTCCGGGCTCCACCTCAGAGCCATTGCTTTGGGCAGGGGGCTCTGGGGCCTTCAATGGCTGGAAGGGCATGGCTGCTTCCTCCAGAACAGGGATGATGGAAGCGTCTCCACCTGACAGGAAGGAGAGAGTGAGGAAGGGGTGCATTGCCTCTGGGGTGTTAGGGGAAACCGTTATTAACAAAAGACCCTCCTCATAAACATATAGCAGAGTAACCTATCAGCAACAGCGTGACACAGTGCCAGTAGCCCAAAATGTTATTTCTTCCATAGGAGGCCTTTCTTCGTAGTAAAATAATATGGTTGCACTATTTACAAGAACAAGGTTTCTGTAACACAAATAAATGAATACAAATGAATAGCTTTACATGCAGCAGCCTTCACACTGGAGCTTTCTCGCACGAGGCTTCTCTCACACTGAGGTTTGCCTCACACTTTTCAGGACGACACTAGCTTTGGCCCACTGACTCCAACCAGCTTCAGCCTACTAACTATTTCAGTGCTTGACTCACACTTTTTTAATAAAAAAAGCCCAGTTAATTTTTAATATTTTTGACAAAAACAACCCAAAAATAGCAGAGCATCAAAAACACAAATTGAATAGTTTTGAATAGTTGAGCATTCAGCTCACAGAAAGCAGAGCATGAAGTGCCTGTGGCTGTAAAGAATGTAGAGCTTACGAAGCAAAGATGCAGAGTTTAGTCTTAAAATTCATCTAAGGTTTATTTACATTAATAAAAAAACTAACTAAATTCCTTAATAGTAAAGAACTGGGTCAAAGCTACTCTAACACCCACGTCTTCTAAGGTTTCAAAGAGAGGGCAAAAACACCAATCACTACGTTTCTCTGACACACATGCAGAGAGGGATCTCAAAGCACATAGCACATACAGATATGTAAAAGCAGAAGTAAGGGCTTGCAGAAAGAACTCCACGTGTTCTTGGAAGAAACTGATTTTTTTAGACCTGTTGCAGTCTGACTATAGGCTGGGACATGGAACTGAACAGGGGGAGTGTGTCCCTGTTTGTTCTTCTGTACCTCTCAGCGTCCTTTGATACTGTTGACCACAGTATCCTTCTGAGACACCTCGTAGGTGTCTCAGAAGGCACTGTTTTGCAGTGGCTCTGGTACTTCCCTGGAGGGTCATTCTCAGAAGGTGTTCCAACTCTGGAACTCATTACCTGGAGAGATTAGGAAAGCTGCTACCCTAGAAACCTTTAAAAAGAACCTTAAAACCTGGCTCTTCCGTTGTGCCTTTGGTGAGTAGGTATACAACCTCACACTATTGCTTAGCCTCAATGTTTTGTCATTGGAGTATACGTCCCCCCTCCCCTTGTGGGAAAGTTTGATCCCACAATCCCTGTTTTGACAGCTTGGTCCCACAACCCTGTTTTTATGAGCTCACTCTTGCAAGTAATTTGCTCCTTTATCTCACTCGAGTGTTTTAACATTTTATCCTGCACATGTGGCGCGCTCACTGTCATTGTGATTGTGTTTATTATAATGTTATATTGCTAATGTATTCATATGTTTTAATGTAATTATGATGTTGTTGCTTATTGCTTATGTTTTAGTTTTATTGTTGTTGTTGTTGTTGTTGGGGCGCACCTGCTCGGCCCTACAGGGATCAGCATTGTCCCCCATGTTGTTTAACATCTGCATGAAGCTGCTGAGGAAGATCATCCGAGATTTTGGAGTTTGATGCTATCTGTACGCAGATGACATCCAACAACCTGAGATTTTTAGCATAAACATCCAATAGAGCACAGCTGTCGCTCACCACCCCACCACTAATGCAAGCCCTGGGGGATGGAGGGAGGGGAGGGTGGCCCAGGGTCCCAGCACAGCCCCCTCTTTGGCCACTGAGGCCCCAGAACTCACAAGGCGTCTGGCTGCAGAAAAAGATGAAGCGGATCCCGGGTCTCAAGGCCCATTTGCCCTCCTCTTCTGAAACGAAGATGCTGTGGGGGTCCCGGCCCACCACTGCCCTCCAGAGCTGGTCCAGCAGGTACCTGATGGGAAGGGAGGGAAGGAAGATGTCCATGGTCAAAGCAAGGACGAGAGGCTATTCCTGGAGTCTTTCCCCTGGAAGGCTGGGAGGGCAGGCAGAGGGAAGGGGCCCAGCCCACCTCTGGAAGCTTCGCTTCGCTACCACTTCTGCGTGGCTGTCGTTGAGGACATCACCTGGGGAAGGAGAAGCAGAGGAGGAAGGAGGTTTGGGAGCAGAGGCTGGATGGCCATCTGTCAGGAATGCTTGGATTGTATGTTCCTGCATGCATGGCAGAATGGAATTGGACTGGATGGCCCTTGGAGTCCCTTTTCTCCCATCCTAAACTGAAAGCTTAACCCCCCTGTTCATCCTTTTTGGGCTCCTCTCAATTCCACTTTTTCTATTCCTACCTCATCCAGGGTTTTATCATTTTCGTCCATTTGGCCTCCCGTCGTGTTTGATCTTTTATTATGTCAATTTGCTTTGTTTATTTTATTTTGCTACTTTATGTATTTTACTTTGATTTATTTAATTTCTGTGGTTTATATTTTGTATTTTATTTTGCTGTATTGTATCTTTGGGCTTGGCCTCATATTAGCCACCCTGAGTCCCCTTTGGGGAGATGGTGGCGGGGTATAAATAAAGATTATTATTATTATTATTATTATTATTATTATTAGCTGTCCCCTGGCACGCGTTGCTGTGGCCCAGTCTGATGATCTGGAAAATAAAGTAATGAGAAAGTGTTGGTTTCTAATATATGTAATTTCTTTATGCTTGTGGGTAAACAGTATTTCTTGCTGTTTCTTTGTCAGTATTGATGTGGAGAGTGTCTGGTTTGCCTACTCTGGAACATGCAACATATAATTGTCCTTCTTTAGGGGTCGCTTTCAAATCTATGATACTATATCTGTGTGTGCGTGTGAATCATATCTATCTGTCTATATCTATGTCTGGATGGCTCTTTGTCAGAAGGGCTTTGATTATGTTTCTTGCCCTGGTGAAGGGTGTTGGATTGGCTGGTCTTAAGGCAGCATTTCTCAACCTGGGGGTCAGGAGTCATGGGGGTGTCAGAAGGGTTGCCAAAGACCACCAGAAAACACAGTATTAGTCATGGGGGGTTCTGTGTGGAAATTTTGTTTCCAATTCTATCATTGTTGGGGTTCAGAATGCACTTTAGTTGTAGGTGAACTATAAATTCCAGCAACTACAAGGTCTATTTTCCCCAAACTCCACCTGTGTTCATATTTGGACATATGCAGTATGTCAAGTTTGGTCCAGATCCATCATTGTTTGAGTCCACAGTGCTCTCTGGATGTAGGTGAACTACAACTCCCAAACTCAAGGTCAACGCCCACCAAACCCTTCCAGTATCTTCTGTTCGTTGTGGGAGTTCTGTGCGCCAAGTTTGGTTCAATTCATTGTTGGTGGAGTTCAGAATGCTCTTTGATTGTAGGTGAACTATAAATCCCAGCAACTACCACTCCCAAATGACAAAATCAATTTTTTATGAGTGATGGTCACTTCTTGGGTTAGTAGGTGTCTTGTGGCCAAATTTGGCAATTAGTCCAGTGGTTTTTGAGTTATGTTAATCCCACAAACCAACATTACATTTTTATTTATATAGACTAGCTGTCCCCTGCCACCCGTTGCTGTGGCCCAGTCTGTGCATATGTGTTTTGTGTGTGTATATATATTTGTGTATATGTTTGTGTATATATATAGTTTTGTGCATGCATTGTAATGGGGTTTTTTGTGTGTTTTTTGGATTTTTTAGTCCCATCCGCTGTGTTTTTATGAGTGATGGTCGCTTTTTGGCCTGATAGGTGCATTGTGTCCAAATTTTGTGTCAATTCGTCCAGTGGTTTTTGAGTTATGTTAATCCCACAAACAACATTACATTGGGTTGTTGTAGGTTTTTCCAGGCTATATGGCCATGTTCTGGAGGCAATTTTTCCTGACGTTTCGCCTGCATCTATGGCAAGCATCCTCAGAGGTAGTGAGGTCTGTTGGAACTAGGAAAGGGTTTATATATCTGTGGAATGATCAGGGTGAGACAAAGGACTTTTGTTTGCTGGGGCTAGATGTGAATGTTTCAGCTGATCACCTTGATTTGCATTCAATGGCTTGGAAGTGCCCGGGGGGAATCCCTTGTTGAGAGTGATTTTATGTGCCTGTTTGTTTCCTCTGTTGTTTGCTGTTATAATTTTAGAGTTTTTTAATACTGGTAGCCAGATTTTGTTCATTTTCATGGTTTCCTCCTTTCTGTTGAAATTGTCCACATGCTTGTGGATTTCAATGGCTTCTCTGTGTAGTCTGACATGGTGGTTGTTAGAGTGGTCCAGCATTTCTGTGTTCCCAAATAATATGCTGTGTCCAAGTTGGTTCATCAGGTGCTCTGCTATGGTATCCACATCCACAGAAATCAGAGAAACCCATTTTTCCTAGTTCCAACAGACCTCACTACCTCCGAGGATGCTTGCCATAGATGCAGGCGAAACGTCAGGAGAAAAATGCCTCTAGAACATGGCCATATAGCCCGGAAAAACTTACAACAACCCAGTGATTCCGGCCATGAAAGCCTTCGACAAAACATTACATTTTTATTTATATAGATTATCATCGGGAGCGGCTCAGGACTTCATGTCTACCATGGCAACCATGGGGCTGTCCCAACAAGTATCTGGCCCCACCCACAGTGCTGGACATACATTGGACTTGGTTTTCTGCCAGGGATGGGAGGAAGGTGACGGTGTTGAGGAGTTATCCATCTCTCCGTTGCCATGGACCGACCACCATCTGGTCAGTTTTAGACTCACTGCTCCCCCTAACCTCCGCAGAGGTGGAGGACCTATTAAATTGGTCCGCCCTAGGAGGCTTATGGATCCGGATGGTTTCCTGATGGCTCTTGGGGACTTTCCCGCCACCGTGGTTGGTGATCCTGTTGATGCTCTGGTCGCTCTCTGGAATGGGGAGATGACTAGGGCAATAGACACGATCGCTCCAGAACGTCCCCTCTCAAGTAGCCGAGCTAAACCAGCTCCTTGGTTTACCGAGGAGCTGGCAGCGTTGAAGCGAAAGAAGAGGGAACTAGAGAGCGTGTGGCGTTCGGATCCGAGCGAGCCAAACCGAACACGGTTTGTGTCCTTTTTAAGGGCATATGCCGCGGCAATAAAGGCCGCAAAGAAAATCTTCTTTGCGGCTACTATTGCGTCTGCAAAGAACCGTCCGGCTGAACTGTTCCGAGTTGTCAGAGGCCTATTAAAACCCGCCATTCAGGATGGGTGCCCTGATGACTCGGCAGCTCGCTGTGAAGCTTTTGCTCGGTTCTTCGCAGACAAAGTCGCTTTGATCCGTTCTGGACTGGATACCATATTAACGGCAGTATCTGAGGATGTAACACGAGCATCTGCTTGTCTGGTTTTGATGGATTCATTTCAATTGGTTCAATCCGAGGATGTGGACAAGGTGCTTGGAGGAATGAGAGCTACCACATGCATCCTAGACCCCTGCCCATCCTGGCTTCTGAAGGAGGCCAGAGGGGGATTGGCCGAGTGGGTGAAGGTGGTGGTTAATGCCTCCCTTCGGGAGGGCAAAATTCCAGCCAGCTTAAAGCAAGCTGTGATAAAACCGCTGTTGAAAAAACCATCACTAGACCCCACTCAATTCGTCAACTATCGGCCTGTTTCCAATCTCCCCTTTTTGGGCAAAGTCCTGGAACGTGTGGTGGCCTCACAACTCCAGGTATTCTTGGTAGACACGGATTATCTGGATCCGGCACAGTCTGGCTTTAGGCCGGGGCATGGTACCGAGACAGCCTTGGTCTCCTTAGTGGATGATCTGCGTCGGGAGCTCGACAGGGGGAGTGTGTCCCTGTTGGTGCTGCTCGACCTCTCAGCGGCCTTCGATACCGTCGACCACGGTATCCTTTTGGGACGCCTCGCGGGGATGGGTCTTGGAGGTACTGTTCTGCAGTGGCTCCGCTCATTCCTCGAGGGTCGGTCTCAGAAGGTGTTACTGGGAGACTCCTGTTCAACCCCACAACCTTTGTCTTGTGGGGTTCCTCAGGGTTCAATACTGTCTCCCATGTTGTTTAACATCTACATGAAGCCGCTGGGCGAGATCATCCGGACTTTCGGAGTGCGATGTCATCTGTACGCAGATGATGTCCAACTCTGTCACTCCTTTCCACCTGCTACTAAGGAGGCTGTCGAGGTCCTGAACCGGTGCTTGGCCGCTGTGACGGTCTGGATGGGGGCGAACAAATTGAAATTGAATCCAGACAAGACAGAGGTACTCCTGGTTAGTCGTAAGGCCGAACAGGGTATTGGATTACAGCCTGTGTTAGATGGGGTCGCACTCCCCCTGAAGACACAGGTTCGCAGTTTGGGGGTGATCCTGGATTCATCACTGAGCCTGGAACCCCAGGTTTCGGCGGTGACCAGGGGAGCCTTCGCACAGTTAAAACTTGTGCGCCAACTGCGACCGTACCTTGGGAAGTCTGACTTAGCCACGGTAGTCCACGCTCTGGTTACATCCGCCTTGATTACTGCAACGCTCTCTACGTGGGGTTGCCTTTGAAGACAGTCCGGAAGCTCCAGTTAGTCCAACGGGCGGCAGCCATGATTTTAACAGGAGCGGAGCGCAGGGAGCATACAACTCCTCTGCTGCACCAGCTCCACTGGCTGCCGATTTGCTACCGGGCTCAATTCAAAGTGCTGGCGTTGGCCTTTAAAGCCCTAAACGGTTCTGGCCCAACTTACTTATCCGAACGTATCTCGGCCTATCAGCCCACCAGGACCCTTAGATCTTCTGGGGAGGCCCTGCTTTCTATCCCGCCTGCTTCACAGGTGGGAACGAGAGATAGGGCCTTCTCTGTGGTGGCCCCTCGGCTTTGGAACGCCCTCCCTATAGAGGTACGATCAGCCTCGTCGCTGATGGTGTTTAGGAAGAGACTCAAAACATGGTTATTCAAACAAGCATTCGGCTAATCTGTGGCAATTAAATCGAATTTTGGTGACTATGGACAGGAAATATGGACAACGAACTCTGGATTGTGATTTTAACTTGAGATATATGGGATTATTATTGGTGGCCCAATAATTTGTTATTGTATTTGTATATGTTTTTTAAACTGAGATTGTTTTTAAAATGCTGTAAACCGCAATTGAGTCGCCGTTCTAGGCTGAGAAATTAGCGGTATACAAGTGTACCAAATAAATCATTATTATTATTATTTCACATAGTGTGGCCCAGGAGGATGGAGGGCCACAGCAATGCCCTCTGGAGCAGCCACCTGAAGGGATGTTGCCTTCTAAAGAAGCCTGGGCCAGCTTCGGCCCTCCCTCCCTCCCTCCAGGTGTTTTGGACTTCAACTCCCACAATTCCTAACAGGCTGTTAGGAATTGTGGGAGTTGAAGTCCAAAACACCTGGAGGGAGGGAGGGCCGAAGCTGGCCTAGGTCTGCTCTATCTAGAGGGGGTTGGACTGGATGTCCCTTAGGGTCTCTTCCACCTGCCTAGGCCTCACCCTCCCGGCGCATCTCCTGGCTGCCGAGGCACTTGGTCCCGCTGCCCGCCGCCACCACCTCCAGCTCCTCCTCCTTCTCCCCGGCCTTCAGGACGGCGGCCAGTAGCGTCCACTCACACCCGGCCTGGGGCTTCCCTCGCCTGGGAAGCCGCTCCTCGTAATGCTCCAGGCACCTCGCCGCTACAGCATCCGCCAGGTTCTCCATCGCGCCCGCTTCCGCCATAAAGAGGAACTCCTGCGGATGCGTGGGGGACGGAAGCCCAAAGAGGACTTCCCTGCAAGCTCCGCCCCCTCCCTCCCTTCCTTTTGCGCAGGCGCCAAGCAAGTCACTCATC